GCACGAATACCAGATCGGGTGCGGGGATCTGAAAGCAGCAAAAGACTTCACGGCAATCGAGCGTGGTGCGAACAAGTTCGCTTTCTCTAGACGAAAATTTTTCTGGGATGTAGTCGCTAGCTTGGTGCGCTCAGGTTTTATTAGCGATGCAGCGATATACAAGGTATATTCAGTCTATGGTAGGCAACTCCCAGTGTCAAGCACCTTATAGCTCTCCGTGCGGATCGTAAGAACGGTGGACATCCTAGACTGCGTGTGTAGTTCTCGTTTAGTACACTTCAACACTGTCAACTTCATCAGCTTAAGTATTAACCAACCACAACACGGTTGCATATCCAGTTGCACGAACGGCCAATATGTCTACAGTGTTGTACGATTCTGAGGTGCACTGATTGTGTTTCAGTAGAATATATTTAGTGATAGCCCCTGGCATCGCTGAAGACACTTTCCCAGCATTGTTCGTTCCTGCGCTACCTGGGTTAAACTACTGCTGTCCTAAAATGCAAACGTCCCAACATTTTTTATGCGTTTGTGCTGTCAATAGCTGCGAATGTTACCAATTTCGCGAATTAAGCAGAGTGTTCACTGCTGAGCAGTACCCTTGATGGAGTATTTCTTTGAAACAACAACGTGAGATGTTAGGTATGTGTTCATTATTGTTGATCTCATCTGAGATCACATGATGATATCGTTGCCAAGATTGTCCATTGAAAACCAACTCGAGGTTGCGTGCGGAATAATGACCGCCTACTTTGCAGAAGTTAATCACCACGAAGTCTACCTTGAGTCCTGGCATAATAATTACGTACGATGATAGTATTATTCCCATTTCTATTAAATGTTACTTACATGTAATTAAATTGCGTTTTAGTCCCAATAAAAGATAATTGGTTTATTACGAATATGTGTGTATTACGGAACATGAAGCAAATTATGCGGTTTCCGACATCTGCAACTGTACAATAACGATGACGACACTGGCCGACAGTGGCCGACACGGTCGTGATTGGCGGAAACATGCAGTATTTCATCCAATAACCAATACAACTCCAAGTCCAATTCAATTGGAGAGAAAAAGACATAGAAACCGTGGCAGAGGAGCGCCAGTATTCCGAACGGAGGTCCACACAACGGAAAAACGAAAAGAGAACGCAGGAGCGGCGCACGCGTGCTTGGGGCGTCCGCAGGCGGGGGGTGGCGGGGCCCTCCGCAACGAGCAGCAGTCCGACAGCAGCAGAGACACACCGAGGACCTTCAACAAAGTACGATAACACTGAAGAAGCGCAGAAGGTAGGGAGTGTTGTACGTTTTGTCTTGTGGTGC